ATTGACAGACAGGCACATGACACGCATGCGCAATTTATCATGTATATATAAATACACACACATGCATGTATATATTTAAGAAAAATATGTTGTTTATATATTAAATATATTTATATAAAATATAAGAATATTAATATATAAATGTACATACATGTAAATATTTTCAATTGTATTTACATATACATAATAAATATACACAGTACACAAACATATATTATGTAAACAAAAACTTTTATTTTGGATGCGATTAATTGCGATTAATCGTTTGACAGCAGATATATTTTAAAATGTATTCCTGTGATCAAAGCTGAATTTTCAGCATCATTACTCCAGTCTTCAATGTTACATGATTTTAATCATTCTATTATGCTGATTTGCTGCTTATCTTAATTATTCCAAAATTCATAAATGTGTGGATTTGAACAACAAAGATTTGGAAGAACGAAGCATTGATTTAGCAGGACAGTGTAAACCTATTAAAACTTGAATTGATTTTAACGTACGTTTTTGTTTTAGGTTTGGAATATTGCATCAAATAAGCTGTACTTTCTAAACTCCTTCGAGATGAAGATGGCAGTCATATGCTCTTTGGACTCACCCCGAGTTTGGTCAATTTTGGGTGGGTATCTCATATAAATTAAGGCAAAATTACATTTTCAAACCAATTGAAATCAATAAGATTGTCAAATGCTAATGCAAAATATTAATTCTCTTTAAGGAAATCTAAGTACTACACTGAAATGTTACACTCTAAAAAATGCTGGGTTAAACACAACCCAGTGCTGGGTAAAATAGGGACAAACCCAGCAATTGGGTTGCTTTGACCCAGCGGTTGGGTTAAATGTTTAACACAACCTTCTGGGTAGTAACCCATCCGCTGGGTCAAAACAACCCAATTGCTGGGTTTGTCCCTATTTTACCCAGCACTGGGTTGTGTTTAACCCAACATTTTTTAGAGTGTATGATGTAATAATGTAGCTTTTGTCTATTTTGTCTAAAATAGAAAAATAGAAAGATATGTTACATGTATATAAATCTACACTAAAAAATGATATGATCAATAAGTCATGGCAACATGTTTTCCTTTAACTCATCAAATTAATTGAACCAAATTGAATAGCAATTTATACGCGATTCGACAAGATTTTAAAAAAGGAGTTGAAATGAGCAATTTTGATTACAAACGTTTTATCGTTTGAAGTTTTTCAATTGAATTACTATAGATAGTGGTATTATTATGATTAAAAGGTAGCTGATTGTTTTAAAAGTACCATCTCGTCCCAAATTCCAGATAAAGAATGATTCATATCAGTTCTTAACCCTTATGGTCATCACTGTTCAGAAATCTGTGACTTTTTGTTTTTCTCTTTTCTTTTTAACAGACATGTCTGAAAATTCCAGGACAGTTTGTTCCACAGCTGATCTTCCTGCTGTCTCTCTTCAGATACCTGATCTTCCTCATCCTCTATAAATGGTGCATCACTCTGCGCTCTGAAACGGCTCTCTTCATCAACATGATGCTGTTTGATTACCAGTCTGAGTATAAGCTTCCTTACGCAGGACAGGTTTGGGTTCATGCTCCTCGAAAAGCAGTTGGCATTTCATAGCTGAAGTACTCGGCTTTAACGATTATGACTGACGCTGTAATGCTCTACAGAAAGCGGTTCAGATCTTCTTGGTTGTGACGGCTATGCTCATGGTTCCTGTGCTGCTTCTTCTCAAACCCTAAGTTCCTCATCCACAGGACCCGGATGAAAACCAGACACCAGGTGGGTGAGCAGAGCAACCCTGTCCCAAGAACAGTTAACGCTTGTTTCAACCAACTAAAACCATGCAAAACTTTTGTCATTTGAAATCAAATAAAAAATCACTAAAATAAAAAAATATTCGAAAACTAAAATGAGTTTATGTCCGCTAATTGCCAAGGCAGTATTTCTCATTTTCATTTAGTTTATATTGATGTACTAAAATAACTCAAACTGAAATACAAATTTTAAACTGTACATTAACTATGACAAAAATACACAACAAAATAATCACAACTAACTAAATTCTAATGAAAACAAAAAGATAAAAATAATAATTCATTCAAAATATATTCACAAAACCCTAATAGTTTAGTGATACTAAAACGGTACTGATTTCATCATGGAAATATATTTTTATTATTAATTCAATTATGCACATTTTAAATGCAAATTAAATCCTTTCATTGAAAAACACCCTCAGTAAATTTGTATAAACACATAATATGTTACATTAATTAGTTATATTATTAAAAATAATGAAATGAAAAAGAATATAAAATAAATGTAATTAAATATGTTTATACCATTTATAAATATTTAACTATATTCAATTTGTGTAAAGTACATAAATAGTAATTAAATTCAGTAGTCTATAAGGCTTTAATATTATATTTAAGATTTACATATAAGACTAGGATTTATATTTATTGGTGATTTATTTATTCGTTTTTTTAAATTATACATTTTAGTACTGCAAAATTGAGCATAAATCTTTTAATTTTTTTATTTATTTGACATTTTCAAATTGCCAATACCATATTTAGAATGTGAATTGTGTATAAAAATGTTGAATATATTTATATATATATATATCTGAATAATCAGCATGAAACAGATACGTGCTCCTCCTTCTCACATCATCAGAAAGATGAGATGGTAAGCTTTTGGCATCAGAGAAGTCTTTAATTAATTCAGCATGGATGCATTAAGTTGATCAAAAGTGACATTTATAATATTACAAAATATGTATGTTTTAAATAAATGCTGTTTTTTTTTTGTTGCTTTCTGTTCATCTAAGAATCCTGAAAAAAATGTATCACAGTTTCCACAAAAATATACAATGTTTTAAACATTGATAATAATAAGAACAATTATTAATAATTGAGCGGCAGATCAGCATATTAAAATGATTTCTAAATTAACATATATATGACATATTATAGTATATTTTATGTGCCAGTAAACATGCAAATAAAATTAATTCACATAAGTTCAAAATATCATGTCTTTTCTTTGCACTATGGAACACAAAAGTACATATTGAGTTTTTTTGGGTTAAGATTTTCAGTGAACAATGGTTTAAGTTTCAGCATGCTCTTCACACAATGCTATTGCTAATATTGTATAGAAAAAAATTCTATTGCAATCCACAGAAGAAAGAAAACCATACAGGTTTAGAATGACATGAGTGAGTGGATAATGACAGACTGTTCATTCTTGGGTGATCTGTTCCTTTAAGAAACACAAATACACAGTAAAATGGTTGTGTCTCTCGTCTGCAGAGCTGTCGGAGGTGCTTTGGCGGATGGTTCTCCAGGTGAGTCTGAAGATCTCCTCTGGTACTGCTGTTTGCTGCTTTCGCTGTTCTCACCGTGACTATTCTTCTGGTTATGGAGGGCCTGTCTGCATTTCTGCATGCTTTACGACTACACTGGTAAAAACAACGCATAATTCATAAGCAACGAGTAGGAGACTTCACTTTAATTCTTTTAACAAAGAAGTCTTCAGAGTGATCATGCGTATAAAAACCTTGCACTTGTAAGCTGCGTGTTAGTCAAGGTGTTTGACCTTTGACATGGAACATGTTTGTCTATCTATTTTTAATCTATTAAAGTTTATATATATCTGGCCCAAAGGTCTAATGCAGGGGTGCCCAAACTCTGTCCTGGAGGGCTGGTGTCCTGCAGAGTTTAGCTCCAGCTTGCCTCAACACACCTGCCTTCAAGTTTCTAGTATGCCTAGTAAGAGCTTGATTAGCTGCTTCAGGTGTGTTTAATTGGGGTTGGAGCTAAACTCTTTAGGACACCGGCCCTCCAGGACTGAGTTTGGGCACCCCTGTGCTAATGTCTCTGTACTTGAAATGTGTTCAAATTTAGCATTAATAGTGTGAGAGTTTATCGTGAGGTTCAGTATGTACTATTACTCCTAAAAACAACAAACATTTGTTCTGTTTAAAAGCATGTTTAAATATTATACAATTAGTGATATGAATGTAGTTAAAGTGATGTTTTTATGTGCTTTGTGTTTGCTTTCAGGGTTGAATTTCAGAATAGGTTTTATGAGGGATCCGGCTACAAGTTCACACCCTTGTCCATTGACAACCTGTTAAAAAGACAGCAGTAATGGTTTTTATACATGCTATTCTTGTAGTTTTTACTGTAAATATGTGAATCTAACAAATGCATATTTGATCTCACAATTATTGTTTACAATGAACTGCTGAAAATTTGCAAGCTAAAAATGAGTTTGTTTCTTCATCAGAACAGATCTGGAGAAATTTAGCATTACAGCACTTGCTCAGCAATGGATCATCTGGAGTGAATGGGTGCCGTCGGAATGAGAGTCCAAACAGCTGAGAAAAACATCACAATAATCCACACCACTCCAGTGCAGCAGTTTACATCTTGTGTAATGAAAAGCTGGCATTGCTTCTGGCTAAAATACGAGTCCTCTATGTTTGTGTTTTGAAGTTAGAGGACAAAGGGATGGATTATGGACTCATATTTTGGCCAGAAGCGACAAGATAAAGTAAAAACACCTTAAAGATGGATTTGTTTCTTAAAAACAGGCAACTTTGCACTTCACAAGACATTTATCGTGTAGATGAATTTGTGTGGATTATTGTGATGTTTTTATCAGCTGTTTGGACTCTCATTCTGACGGCACCCATTCACTGCAGAGCATCCATTGGTGAGCAAGTGATGCAATGCTACATTTCTCCAAATCTGTTCTGATGAAGAAACAAACTCTCTACAAAAGTAACTTTACAAAATAGTTACATTTAGGTAGGCCTACTCGTTGCTATTATTACTGGCTAGTTGTGTAACACTGTAACTTTAACACTAATGTAAATAATGTTATCAAAACTATTTTTTATTGTTATTGATTATTAATTATTTTACGGAACACAGTTATTATATAAATACAAATTATAAAGGTAAAAAAAGCAATGAAAAGACAAAAGTAACCATTGCAAAATGTAGCTTTTATTAACGTTGTAAACCTAAAGTATAAAATAGTTTTAGACCATCCTAGTTACCTGCAAAATAAACTGTACAGATGTGGAGCAGACTGAATGAATTTACTGTACAACATGCATCTAATATGAGCTGTGCCATACATTCACACTCAATTTTTGTTAGTAGACTTCCTTAATGAACTGTTGTGTATATTTTCTGTATACTTGCACTAATGTCACAGAACGAACATTTGCTAACACATCAAACAGCATTCAGTGGGTTAACAGTGAAATACCTTTTTTGGGGTTGTAGGAACATACACACTGAAAATTCATGGCATTTTAAATAAACGTGAAAAAGACGCTACCGTGTTCATGATGCACCATTGACTAGCTCCTGAGTTCTGAATGTAAAAAACAGGGTCTGTGTCTCATTTTAATTCAGACCAGACAACTGTTGGCAACAAGAATGCATTTGACAGTTTCAACAAACCTTTGCGTCAGATCAAGACAGAACAGCACCGTGCATTCGAGGTACGTTTAGAATTTTTTCCAGATATGATTGAGAGCTTTATGTTTTTGTATTTTAAATGTTATTGCATTCAAACGCTTAAAGGTACAACACTAATGCATACAGAAACAGTCGAACGCCAATGTGATGATGCTATTCATTTTTTGGGGATTTCACGATTCAGAACTTTTTTTGTTAAGTTAAGGACAGATGCATGTTAGTGTAATGCAAATGGTTGATTATCAATATTTGAGCATCATTATTTCTAAATTATGACACCTTTTGTTGTATGCTGTATTACAAGTCGTCAGTATTTTTAAATTATATTTAATTAATTTTATTTGACAAAAAAAATGCAAAATGCCCAGAGAAAATATAAATTTGAAGTGTGCATATTCATGGCACGTTTCAAGTTCCAGACAAAACGCAGGTTAAGTATGAACACTTTGTTCATTACGCTGTTTAACCACATTCAAAAACGTTTTTCAACTTGATTGTCGAACCCAAGTGAGATCATAGTGCTACTTATGGAAAAAGGAAGCTTTGAATAATCTGCCCTCTGAGAAACAGCTGAAGGGTACCATGGCCGTGTCTGAAGAATACACAGAAACATCTAGGATCGTGTTGCGTTGTTGCCGTTATCGTCGTCGTCGTCAGACTGTTGGTCGGGAGGAATGGCGCGGGTATGGCTGGCTCGTACGCTGGTCAGATGAGGGCAGGCAGAGATCAGGTTAGCAATGCCACCAAGAGTTACGCCTGTGCCATCCAGGTTCACTTGACTCAGCTGCATACGACACAGGAACTTCAGACCTGAGGAGTAGAATTCAGTATGTTAGAGACGTTTCTTTACTAGAAAATGATTGTGGAGGGAATAAGACTGCACAACATACCCTGATCTGTGATTCTGGTTCTGCTGAGGTTGAGTTTCAGCAGCTGTGGACAGTGAACTAGACCTCGTCTGATCACCGTATCGCCCACCTGTGTACTGGCCAAACCCATCACCTACAAAACACACAAGCACGTTGAGTCCATAAATATTCATTGCCATATATATGTATATATAGTTTATATATTATTATTTTCAATTATAAAGAATATTACATAGTAAGTTAATAAATATTATATATGTTAAAATGGAATTTATTCCTGTGATGTAAAGTTCAGAGTCACATGATCCTCCAGAAATCATGCTAATATTCTGATATGCTGTTTTCTTTTCTTATAATTAGTTCAAAGGAAAAGCATTTATTTGAAATAAAATGTTTTGTTACATCATAAATGTCTTTACTGTCACTTTTGACAAATTTAACGCATGAATGCAATTATTATTTTTTTTTTATTAATTTAGTAAAAAATGTAAAAAAATATGATTTTTAACAAATTTTAAGATTTAATTTTTAACTACACAAAGAAAATAAATAAATAATAATTATATTTATCCTCTATATATATATATATATATATATATATAAAATATTGTAGTACTGTCAAACGATTAATCGGGATTAATCACATCCAAAATAAACGTTTTTGTTTACATAATGTATGTGTGTGTATTGTGTATATTTATTATGTATGTATAAATACACAGCATATATTTTGAAAATATTTACATGTATTTACATGTATATATTTATATTCATATATAAATATATTTAATATATAAACGTAACACATTTTTCTTAACTATATACATTTATGTGTGTATTTATATATACATATTAAATATACACAGTACACACAAATATATTATGTAAACAAAAACTTATTTTGGATGCGATTAATCGCGATTAATCATTTGACAGCACTAATATATATATATATATATATAGTCTACTGTACCTGCAGATGTGGTAAGTGTGTGATCAAGGCTGCGACACCCCTGCTGGTGACGGCTGTACGGTCGAGACACAGTTCCTGGAGCTCTTTTAGACTGATCAGTCCCTGCAGTCCGCTGTCACTCACCTGAGTGTTGCTAAGAGACAGCTTCTTCAACCTATCAGATGCAAAGGGGCGGGTCATCATTACCATCTTTGGTAAAAGCAAAATAAGACTTCTGAATACTGTTCTAATGAAACAGAGAAATGAATCGCAAACGAAAGGTCTACTCATACCAAAAGCAGAAACGAAAAACTGCAGGACAATGCCAATTTTAATTGCTTTAAAGCAGTAACACAGCAACAGCATGATATATTGCAATATGTGACCCTGGACCACAAAACCAGTCATAATGGTCACTTTTTTGAAATTGAGATTTATACATCATCTGAAAGCTGAATAAATAAGCTTTCCATTGATGTATGGTTTGTTAGGATAGGACAATACTATATGGCTGAGATACAACTATTTGAAAATCTGGAATCTGAGGGTGCAAAAAAAATCTAAATATTGAGAAAATCTCCTTTAAAGTTGTCCAAGTGAAGTTCTTAGCAATGCATATTACTGATCAAACATTAAGTTTTGATATATTTACAATAGGAAATTTACAAAATATCTTTACTTAATATCCTAATGATTTTTGGCATAAAAGAAAAATCAATAATTTTGACCCATACAATGTATTTTTGGCTATTGCTACAAATATACCCCAGCCACTTAAGGACTGGTTTTGTGCTCCAGGGTCACATTTAATCACTTTTTTGCTCAGAATGCTGGAAAATGTACTAAAGAAACGTATCGGTCTGTAGGTTTTCTCTCCAAACAAAGAAAACAAAGTTAATAAAAAACAAAAACCACTATATTTGTTGGCAAAAAAAGAACAGTGTGAATGTCTTGTCTGACGCACACATTCGCTCTTGGTGTGAATAGATCGTTACACATAAATCAGGGTTCCCACAATTTCTGACCAAAGAATTTCCATGCCTGTTCCAGCTGTTACTAATGACCGGACAAGAAATGTTAAAACTCATTTTATAAAGAGTAAATTCCAGCTAAAGAAAGAGCTGAGCGTAACTACATTTGATTATTTTCCATGAATTTTGAAATTCTCTAATAGTTCCCGGTTTTTCTTGACTGTGGGAAACCTGAAAATTGGACAACAACATTTTGGGATCCAGCCAGTGATTTCATAAATAACTCTAAGTAAGCCTATTCCAGCATTACAAGATTTGCACGGTTGCATTACACCACATTAAACTAGAACAGCAGCTCCTTTTCTCATGTGATTTACTGCATGGACACTTTGGACCTAAGCTCTACCTGGTCATGCTGGCAAGCTGTGTAATGCCGTGGTCAGTGAGCTGAGTGTAGTCCGTCAGGTCGAGTTCTAAGAGCAAAGTCTGTCTGGAGAGAAACGTAAGCCCACTGTCTGTCACAGAGTGTCTGCCGGGCAGGGTGAGCTGGGTAAGCCTTAGGCCTGCGTGGAGAAAATGCTCTTACTTCACTAAAACCCCAAACAGGATTGAATAACTTGCAAAACACATTCATGCATGCATAAAATACTTCATAAATGATGCATAAAACGCCATAAATACAAATAGTTCTATTTGGCTGCACCTGAAATGATCTCCAGCGTGTGGTTTCCGTCGGCGACCGGTATGCCGGCCAGGCTGAGAGCTGATAGGCTGGGGTGGGTTGCAAGGCACTGGAGAGTATTTTCTCGTACACCTGTGCCGTCCAAGTGAAGCGTCTGCAGGTTTCGGAGCTCTGCGAGTGCAGACACGTCACTCACCTCAAGGCAAAAGGAGACAAATGTTAAATAAATATAGGGTAAACGTATAGTGAATTCCATTACGCCATTCTCTCGTGGTCCATAAATAGACCTTACAAACAAGCCCTGTAACGGCTTCATGATTGGAGCTTGTTTGAAGGGACAAATGATGTATGGTTTGTTAGGATAGGACAATACTATATGGCTGAGATACAACTATTTGAAAATCTGGAATCTGAGGGTGCAAAAAAAATCTAAATATTGAGAAAATCTCCTTTAAAGTTGTCCAAGTGAAGTTCTTAGCAATGCATATTACTGATCAAACATTAAGTTTTGATATATTTACAAGAGGAAATTTACAAAATATCTTTACTTAATATCCTAATGATTTTTGGCATAAAAGAAAAATCAATAATTTTGACCCATACAATGTATTTTTGGCTATTGCTACAAATATACCCCAGCCACTTAAGGACTGGTTTTGTGCTCCAGGGTCACATTTAATCACTTTTTTGCTCAGAATGCTGGAAAATGTACTAAAGAAACGTATCGGTCTGTAGGTTTTCTCTCCAAACAAAGAAAACAAAGTTAATAAAAAACAAAAACCACTATATTTGTTGGCAAAAAAAGAACAGTGTGAATGTCTTGTCTGACGCACACATTCGCTCTTGGTGTGAATAGATCGTTACACATAAATCAGGGTTCCCACAATTTCTGACCAAAGAATTTCCATGCCTGTTCCAGCTGTTACTAATGACCGGACAAGAAATGTTAAAACTCATTTTATAAAGAGTAAATTCCAGCTAAAGAAAGAGCTGAGCGTAACTACATTTGATTATTTTCCATGAATTTTGAAATTCTCTAATAGTTCCCGGTTTTTCTTGACTGTGGGAAACCTGAAAATTGGACAACAACATTTTGGGATCCAGCCAGTGATTTCATAAATAACTCTAAGTAAGCCTATTCCAGCATTACAAGATTTGCACGGTTGCATTACACCACATTAAACTAGAACAGCAGCTCCTTTTCTCATGTGATTTACTGCATGGACACTTTGGACCTAAGCTCTACCTGGTCATGCTGGCAAGCTGTGTAATGCCGTGGTCAGTGAGCTGAGTGTAGTCCGTCAGGTCGAGTTCTAAGAGCAAAGTCTGTCTGGAGAGAAACGTAAGCCCACTGTCTGTCACAGAGTGTCTGCCGGGCAGGGTGAGCTGGGTAAGCCTTAGGCCTGCGTGGAGAAAATGCTCTTACTTCACTAAAACCCCAAACAGGATTGAATAACTTGCAAAACACATTCATGCATGCATAAAATACTTCATAAATGATGCATAAAACGCCATAAATACAAATAGTTCTATTTGGCTGCACCTGAAATGATCTCCAGCGTGTGGTTTCCGTCGGCGACCGGTATGCCGGCCAGGCTGAGAGCTGATAGGCTGGGGTGGGTTGCAAGGCACTGGAGAGTATTTTCTCGTACACCTGTGCCGTCCAAGTGAAGCGTCTGCAGGTTTCGGAGCTCTGCGAGTGCAGACACGTCACTCACCTCAAGGCAAAAGGAGACAAATGTTAAATAAATATAGGGTAAACGTATAGTGAATTCCATTACGCCATTCTCTCGTGGTCCATAAATAGACCTTACAAACAAGCCCTGTAACGGCTTCATGATTGGAGCTTGTTTGAAGGGACAAATGCAGTCTACTGTTTATAAGGATACAATTAATTGATCAAAAGTGACAGTAAAGACATTTATAATTTCGCAAAAGTACTGCTGTTTTTTCTATTCTCAAAAACAATTCAAAAAATTATATCTCTGTTTCCACACACACACAAAATCAGCATATTAGAATGATTTCTGAAGGATCATGTGACACTGAAGACTGGAGTAATGATGCTGAAAATTCAGCTTTGCATCACAGGAATAAATTACATTTTAAATTATATTCAAATAGTTATTATAAATATAATAAATGCTGCCTCGGTGAGCATAAGAGGCTCTCAAAAACATTGTAAAAATCTTGCCAACCTCAAACTTTTGATGAAAATCATTTTTTTGTTAGTCTATTATTGTGATATAATCTATTTTAGATAACCCCATCCATAAATGACATGGAAAACTAAAACAAACTGTGGGATTGAACCTACAACCTTAAAAAAAATAGAATTAAATAAAAAAAAATATATAAATATTTTTTTGAAAATAAAGGGTTTGCATTCTAAAAATAAACTAAATATTATAAATATAAATAAAACATTATAAAATGATTAAAAAAATCTATGTATCCAAGTGGAAAAAAATATATACTAAAATGTATTTGAATTACATTTATTTTGTGCTAAGTATACTACAAATGCATTTAGATATTTATGTGCTTAATAAAAATACCCTGCAATTTTACTCTTAGTACAATAAACTGGTATACTGAAAGTCCAATAACTAATAAACAACTCATTTTGTTAAACTTTAGTTGTGCAGAAGTAGTGCTGAGGTCCAATTAAAGATATACTTAAGAATATCTGATTGTGCTAAAGTGGAACTATTGTAAGTATACTTCAGGTACACTTTAAATATCTTGCATTTAAAGACTGATATTATACAGATATCATGCAGTCCTTATTAATAGTGATATTAGAACACATTTTAGGCATGATATTAAGAAATGTGCATTGTGCAATATAGAAATACTCCAAATAAAGTTGAATTATACTTTTATATCATTAAGTCTTAAGTGATATGTCAATAAATATGTTAATGGATTTTAAGTATACTTGAATAAATGTTTTTTTTTTCAAGGGTATGTATATACCTTGGTGTGTTTAATACTGAGCATTCGTAGCTGTGGTACACATGTGGGCAGCACTCTCAGTGTGCTCTCTGTGATGGCCGTCTGATTGAGGCTGAGCTGACACAGCGCAGAAGAACCTGACTGCAGATACATCAGCAGACCTGCATCGCTTACTTTGGTCTGGTCCAGAGCCAGGAACGTCATACTGCGCAGTCCTGAGATCAGACACAAACAGATGATGCATTTGTACATGATGATAATCGTTTATGGATGCTCCAGTGAGTGGTTTCTGACACGCCGTCGCACCTGCGATATGCTGCAAACAGCTGTCTGTTAGTTTGCTACAAGACGACAGGTTGAGATGCTGCAGTTTTGAGAGGTTGGACAAAACTGAAAGACCAGCGTCTGCAAAAATGAAACAGGAAATGATGAACAGCTTTATAAATCATCTTACATGCAAATCAAGCCAGTAATCAATAGAAATACGCCCTATAGAAGTGTAATTTTTCTCACAGATATCTAGTCATATTTCACCCCAAAATCAAAAGAATAAATAGATATTTGATCAAATATGTCTATTTTCAGAAATCTATTTTCATGACAATTAAGCACATTTACACCATTACCATAATGCAAAAAAAAATCCATAAATTATATGTACATTTTTTACATCAAATGTTAATGTAATAACAAATCTTTACGTATTAAGATTAAATATTATTTGTAATATATTTATATTACACATTATAAAAATATTTAACAATAATAATATATTAAAATATTATGAATTAATAATGATATAGTATTATTATTAATACAAATAATTAAAAATCAATACTAAAATTAATAATTATTTTATTACTTATATAGCTCTGACTTTATTATATATATATATATATATATATATATATATATATATATATTACAAGTTTAATGTGTATTAAAATTTAATATTATTTGTAATATATTTATATTACATATGAAAATATTTAACAATAATAATATATTAACAACTGATATAGTATTATTACTATTATTATTAAACATTAATAAAAATAAATACTAATTATTTCATTATTTATTATATAGCGATGACTTTATTTTTTATTTGAACATATTTCTATATTAAATTTATTTACATTTTTATTAGTTTATTATGTTTTTATTTATTTTTACCATTACAGTAATAAAACTTTTTTTTTTGCATTTCAGTAATGAGAATTTTGGGCTAAAATGTAAGTCTTAATAGTCCTAAAAAAATGATTTACTGATCTATTTATTTATATACTGTAATAACATCTTAATATTGCACACCTGTGATGAGTGGAGAGTTGACGAAGCTGAGATGTTTGAGACAGGAAAACGCCCTCAGTTGCCGCAGCAGCTCGTTGGTGGTGTATGGGTAGCAGTTTAGGACAAACTTCTGCAGCGGGCAGCCGAAGAACAGCTCCAGGGTACGCGGTCGGAGGAGACGTTCACGTGCCATATGAGCCAACAAGAGTTCGGCCAGCTCTGGGGTCAAACACGCCAGGCTGCTGCTGTACTGCATGCTGGGAGCTGAGAGAGCAAGACAACGTTTAATGGCTTTTCTTAAGCACTCATATGACTGGTAAATAGCACTTGGTGGTCTGTTTCTGACCTGTCATGAGGGAAACGGTGGCCCTGGAGGCCATCGAGCAGAGAGAGGGCACGCGGGGGGTCTTAAAGGCTTTTTTGGGGGGCGAGGGATGCCCGTGTGGCGACTGCTGCTCATCGTGATGGGCGGCTCGCTGTAAACGCTCGACCGCTGCTTGACCCGCAGCTCCACGCAATGCACGGCCTTCCTCAGGGTCTGCTGGCTCATCAGGCTCTGCCTCCCTTCAACACACAACCAATTATAGTCACTTAAAGGGACAGTCCACTCAAAAATGTAAATTATGTCATCATTTACTATCATCAAACGGTTTTGGGCCCCACTGAAAAATATCTTCCACAGAAGAAAGTAAGTCATACAGATTTGTAACAACATGAGGGTGAGTAAATGAAGACTGATTTTTTTTTAACTTTTGGGTAAACTATCCCTTTAAGGACAATGCACACTGCTTAAGTTTTCCAAATGCTAAGGCAAACATATCTAACATTTTGTTTAGGAAACAAATCGATCAAAATTCAGAAAGCTGAAAGCAGTGATGTCACTGTAATGAGGTCATGCTGAATTGCAAAAGGTTTTTCTTTCTTACATTGATTGACATACTGAACTGTGATCTTTTTATAAAGCTCTTACTAATCACCCCATACCTTTCTCACCCTTCAGGCCCTTTAGAAATCATCCTACCTGAGTCTGTTGCCCTGCTCCGGCCAGTGATGTCTGTTCTCCAGGAAGAAGGGCAACCGTGGCAGTCCTGTCAGAGTGAGAGAGAACATATATCAATTGTATAGAGGATTCTGATCTTTATACATATATTAGATTTTTTAAAAATACATTTACACCTTGAAATAAATTTCTATTACTTTTCCAGTTGTTCAAGATTACTGGATAAAGTTTCTGAAAATCATTTTTATAGAGACTGGATCCAAACAGAGAAGTTTCTAGCAGATTTTATTCTAGATATTAATGTATTAGATTAGATATAAAGTACATATATAGTTATGCTCTATTTTGTATGCTCCATTTAATTTAAGAAATTAATACTTTTACTCAGTCAGACTCAGGACACATTAAATTGGTCCATTCCAAAGTAACAGTAAAGGCTTATAAAACTGTTACAATATATATATATATATATATATATATATATATATACTGTATATATAAAATAAATATCGCTTTTTTTTATATTTTT